ACGATCTGTTGTTTTGGACTGAAAATCACGATCTCAGGCAACACGATTTTGGGAGCATCAAAGCCGCTTTTTTTTTGCAGTGCTCCTAACTGACCCACCCAGGTTTTGTTTCATCAACTATTTCACACATGTATGCAACATCAACATCCCTCTGTCACAGAACAACAATATTCCACTGAGTCGTGTCCTTTAGTCCGACATCAGCACCACACTGAGCGAGCTGTTTTTTTCAGCGCAAGTTTATTCAAATGTTTTAAGTTTTGTTTCTGTAAAACATAAACAAATGTGCACAAAGCTGCATTAAACACATTATATTCTCAAACGGGCTGATGTGGCTCTGTAGTAATTATGTTTTATATGTTGTAAAGTTGAGTTTATTTATGTAGATTAGTAATAGTAATAATAATAATAATTGTCATTTTAATATAAAAACGTAAATGATTAATCGAAGACCTGGTTTAGACCTGGTGTAGTCATGATTCAGTCCTGGTTCAATTCAGTTCTGGTTTAGTCCTGGTTTAGTGCTGGTTTAGACCATGATTAGAACTGGTTTAGTCCTGGTTCAGTCCTAGTTCAGTCTTCATTTAGTCCTGGTTTAGTCCTCCTGGTTCAGTCCTGGGATAACTCCTGGTTTAGTCCTGGTGTAGTCATGATTCAGTCCTGGTTCAGTCTGCCTGGTTTAGTCTGGTTTAGACCATGGTTTCCTGGTTCAGTCCTGGTTCAGTCCTGGTTCTCCTGGTTTCCTGGGATAACTCCTGGTTTAGTCCTGGTTCAGTCCTGGGATAACTCCTGTTTAGTCCTGGTTCATCCTGTAACTCCTGGTTTAGTCCTGGTTCAGTCCTGGGATAACTCCTGGTTTAGTCCTGGTTCAGTCCTGGGATAACTCCTGGTTTAGTCCTGGTTCAATCCTGGGATAACTCCTGGTTTAGTCCTGGTTCAGTCCTGGGATAACTCCTGGTTTAGTTCTGGTTCAGTCTGTATGCGGTGCAAAAGTCCAGCATCTCGATCTATATTCCTTCTGCTCAATAAATAATGTCTGTGAAGTGATGATTTTTGACAGTGATGATTTTTGACAGTAGTCGTCACGCCGGGCACCTGCTCCGTACCCAATCCGGTGCAGGGCTCGGGTATGATGTAAGTGTCTGTGATGTTTGCAAATGTTCATGAGCACTGAAACTTGATTTGAAAAATAAAAAATAAAAAATGTGGATGAAATCAAAATTGTAATATCTGCCAGAAAAATCACATTTCAATTTTTTCTTAAAACCGTTCAGCCCTAAACAGTACCCTTCTGTAAGCACTTGTGGTAGGACAAAGAGGCTTCAGAGAGTGTATATTTAGTTCCATTTAATGCCGTATGCACTGAAACACAAGAGACACATCTATGACCACGCTATTCACGTCCAGGCACACTTTACGAGTAGCTTTCACCTGCTTGCATGCATCCCCAACCTATCTCCTGTCTAAAACCTTTTTCATTTCTTGTGCACATTAAATATAAAAAATAAAATTACCTTTATAAAAATCATATATAAAAATATGAGGTGGGTGGTCCTTTCTAATCTATTATCATTCTGTTACAGCATTACTAACTGCGCTTGCTTAATACTATTGGTCTCACACTTATCCTCCCCAATTTGATGCAGTAGTAAGAATGACTAAATCTTACTATCTAAGGAAGAATCTGAGTGAGGATTTTTAAAAAGTCTAACACTGTAGAAAGAGTATAAAGCGTTACGTTATGTTTTGAAAGATCTAGAGCTCTGGAATGAATGAATTACGCATAAAATTTTGTTTGTTTTAATTTATATTTGGTCTCTTATATATACAGTAAATAGTAAGTGAAATTGTAAATGCAAACTTGCTGTTTATGAGATGCTTTTCTTTCTTGGCAAATTCTGTCATTCTTCAATAGGGTTTGGCATTATAAGTACTTTTACTTCAGCCTAAATGCTTTCGGTCATGATCCATGGGTTTGTAGTCCATGTTTTGTTTTGTTTTGTACTGCAAAATGATTGAATATAAAAACGACTACTACTCAGTTTTCTGCAAATGCTGTGACAGGCTCATCCACTGCCTTCTTGCCTGATTGGAGATGTTCCACAGTATGGCATTATGATTGTCTTAAGTAAGTCCCCATTTATATAGTGCTTTTCACAGACATTTTTGTCACAAAGACACTTTACAGAGCATTACATTCAGCATATATTATTCATTCACTCTATACCTCGTGATGGTAAGCTACTGTTGTAGCCACAGTTGCCCTGGGGCAGACTGACAGAGGCGCGGCTGCCATGCCAATCGGCGCCAACAGTCCCTTCGACCACCACCATCACTCACACACACACCACTTTCATAGGCAATGTGGGTGAAGTGTCTAGCCACTAGCACCAGTGCTCTGGACAGGTTCATTGATTGATTGTATTTAATTGACCTTGACTATTAACTGTTCTTGGAGACCTGTAGCATGTTCTGGGTTGATGGGGGAAACCGGAGCACCAGGAGGAAACCCATCCACCCAAACCTACTTGCTGTGAGGCTTGAGTGCTAGCCACTCAGCCACCGTGCTGCCAACGTGAGAAAGACAAACCATCTTACCCGTTGTAGTTCCAACCAAATCAGCTATTTCTGGTCAGACTGTGTTGAAATAAAGCTCAGATTAAGTCTAATTTGAGTAACAGAGCTTCAGACAGAGCAGTGCTTTCGTTTAGCTTCACAAACCGAGGGAATATTGATGACTGCGAGCTGTGAAGTATCATTAACCAACCCAAACAAAACATTGACACTTACTGTGAGTAGGCTCTTCTCTCCACACACCTGACTTGTAACTTGGCCTGGTGTCTTTATGGGGATAGGTAAGTTTAATGCCATACTGTGAAATATTCAAGCAAAGTATTAACATATGCTTAGAGACAAACACGTGGCAGTCAAGTTACACAGTACAAAGTTAGTGTCATATTTCAAAATAACAACATTTATTCATGGTTAAAATAGAATTACATGGGCTTGCGTTGACTTCACTTTGACTTGACTTCCGGCTCTAACAAAACAATTGATTTTTCACTTTTAATGATCAAAAATAGTACTCTGAGATGTTTAATGTTTCCCATAGGCATGGAGCAACATTAACGCTCACCCTAAATCACTTTCTATATGCACTTTAGTATATGCTATAGGGCCATTCTCAGTGCATTAGTAACTCATTTATTTTTGTGGTTTGGACTTCCATTTTCACCAGAGGTCGTGGGGGGTCAACACTGGGATACAGCTAAAGCTCTCCTCCAGCACTATCACGTTCATAACCGGATTACAAGATGCCGTAGCTTCCTGTCATTCCCAAGACAATTATGGGTCCAGCAGAGGGCTAATGAGCCACACGGCCGGGGCATTTGCTCTTATCTGGGGCAGGCATCAGGGGCCATTAGCAGTTGTATCAGCTCTCCCCCCACATCTCCCCAGAACTGAGTGTAACGAGTAAAGAAAGCAGAGCGGGAAATTAGATTAAAGATGCAATCAGAAACAAAGCATCTGCAAAACCCCCTATGTCAATATAAATAAATATAGAACTGCTTTACTAAACAACTGTGGGGGGAAAAAGTACTCGATACTTAAAGGTGCATTGCGTAACTTTCCGTGAAATACTTTTCTTCAAATGTTACTTCTTTGTATGGGATGTTACACAGTATGGCATTAAACTTTTCTGTCTTCAGGTAGACCAAACCAGACCAAGTTGCAGGCCAAATCTATGGAGAGACAACCCCAGTGTCAGTCAGAATACCTGTTTTTCAAGGTATTTTTGAGCTATAAATCCACCTGTAATTGAATAAATGTAAAGTAGAATTGTTTAATGTCATACTGTGGAACATTCCAGGCAGAGCAGTGATATTTCCATAGATACAAGCTGTTGATGGACCCCTGCCTTAAAGTGACACAGTGCAATTTTAAGTAAAATAGTTGCATGTAAATTAATGTAGCTTATACTGGCATATTATTGAAGTACAGCACTTTACTCCTTTTACTTTTACTACTTTGCTGTTTTGCTACTTGCCCTGGAGGAGCTGGAGGAAGTGTCTGGGGTGTAGGAAGTCTGGGAGTCCCTGCTTAGACTGCTGCCCCCATGATCCGGCCCTGGGTAAGCGGAAGAAAATGGATGGATACTTTGCTACTACTTTGTTACTACTTTGTTACTACTTTGCTACTACTTTGTTACTACTTTGCTACTACTTTGCTACTACTTTGTTACTACTTTGCTACTACTTTGCTACTACTTTGTTACTACTTTGTTACTACTTTGTTACTACTTTGCTACTACTTTGTTACTACTTTGTTACTACTTTGCTACTACTTTGTTACTACTTTGTTACTATTTTGCTACTACTTTGTTACTACTTTGCTACTTTGCACCGCTGCTATACAACTGTAGAGTAACAAGAAGAAATGTTTACAATATACATTATTATTATTATCATGAGTTGTGGAGGTAATATTATTTTATTTTTACTCTATATTTACATTTATAAAATTATGTCTTATTTGACACCTGTCTCTTGCTGTCTTTTTTGCTACTTATTTAGAATTATTACCATTTATATTTTTGCTCTTTGTTATTATATTATATTGTGATGTGTGAGCTACTGTGTCCAAATAATTTCCCTTGTGGATCAATAAAGTTTGTCCAAGTTTGTCTAATAGGCTTGTAGAAGTTGCTTATCTTAAACTAGAGCTCCCTCTAGTGGCCATAAAGTGCATTTGAGTTCCACACGTCAGATCCAAAATCTAATTAACTTATCCTGTAATTAAATGACACTCGGTTTCAAATTTCCAAATCTATGAAAATACCTCAAAAAGATTAAAACCTCTTTAATTGTTCCCAGAATATTTTGAGCTACAGTGTGTGCTCGGTGGACTTTAGGACCCAGAGGAACACAAACTAAAATCACATGACTTTTTGTATGCGCTGCACTCTGCTGGTCACGTGGTCGCATGCTGTTTCCAGTCGCAAATATGTAGCACCAAAAAAAAAAAAAAGCAACAAAACTGACTCTAAATGATGGAAGTGTCATAGATCCAAAGGGCACAAGAAGGCACGGGACATGGCTGCGGGGGGCTTTATTTTTGTGCTGTTCATCCTGGCCTTTCTGTGTGTCAATGGAAACCTGGTAAGAAGTGTACTTTCAGAATGAACTTTATTACTCAAGATTCAACACCTGATATGATATGAGAGGAAGAGGAAGTTCTGAATGAGCTGGATATTGTTATTGTAATGTGTTTATAACCAGTGGTGGAACGTAAGTAAGTAAAAGTAGCTCTTAAATAAACATTTTAGGGAGATATTTTAAAGTGGATACCTTTTACTTTTACTTCCCTACATTTGAGAGCAGAAATCTGTACTTTCTACTCCACTACATTTTTGAACTGGACTGAAAAGTGAAAGTAACAGTAGTAAAAGTTGTTTGAGACCTGCTGAAAAAGCTGAGAGTTTATTTTTAACACGTTCATAGTCTGAGCAAACAAAATATACAAATGAAAACAGCTAGGAAAAAAAAAAATCAAATATCCTGTTTAACAAAATTCAGCACAAATCTGTATCAAAATCACTACATTTGAAGCCTTATAAGACCTCAAAATCTGTGCTAAATGCATAATAAGTACATTTTTAAATGTGTGTTTTAATACTTTTATTTAATAGATTTTTTTTCATGTGATTTGCTCTGGTAGCTGTACTTTAACTTAACTTAAAAATGTAGTACTTCCTCCACCACTGTTTATAACCCTGTAGTAAATACTGAGCTTTTGTAATGTGGACTTCATTCATAGATCCGCGTTCGTTTCATGTTTTGTGTGTTCTTCTGTTTCAGGTCTCACAAAGGTCTTTCTCCATCGACTACAATAACAACTGTTTTCTAAAAGATGGAAAGACTTTCCAGTACATCTCAGGCAGCATCCACTACTCCCGGATCCCCAGGGCCTACTGGAGAGACCGGCTTCTGAAGATGTACATGACCGGACTCAACGCCATCCAAGTGTAAGATCTACGTATGATTAGGCCCGTCGCTCCAATTTTTCTGTATAGAAGATAAATCAGAATTATCCCCCAAAAAACGATTCCAAATGTACAATATTAAAAAACATGAGCTGAAATAACTAAATGGTAGAATCAGGCCCATCCACAGAAATTTGGGGGCCCAGGGCAAGAAGCCTCACATGGGCCCCTCTAATATAAAAGGAAGGAGTCCAGTTATGGGCTCCTAAAACCCTGGGGCCCGGAACAACAGACCCCTTTGTCTCCCCATGACTACTGGTCTGAGGAAAATGTAACGCTTAAGTAATTACTTTTTATCTGTAATGAGCGCAGACTGTTTAAAGAAGTATATACTATATTTATACAGTGTTTGGTATGAGTCATAGATGTTATTTAATGTTATTTAATTTTATTTCTACAGCTCAAATCTTCTCATATTAAAAAATAATAATAATAAAAAATATCCCATTACAAAGAAAAGCAAAGAAAAGGTACCCACGATAAATATTGACCCCCAAAAGTTCTGTCAATATTAAACGATAAGTCGATATTTAGAATGATATATTATTTATAGTGACAGACCTATATATGATCAGCGGTGGATGAAGTACTCAATTTTGTGACTTAAGTAAAAGTACAGATACCAGAGCAAAGAAATACTCAAGTAAAAGTATTGAAGTACCTGTTTAAAAATGTAGTTAAAGAGTAAAAAGTATTTCACACAAATTTTGAGATTGAATAAAGCTTTAAATGTAGTGATTTTGATTTCTGGATTTCTGTTGAATTTTCTTTAAGAGAAATAATTAAATTCATTTTTTTTCTGGGCTGTTATATATTTTTGTTGGCTCAAACTACAAATGTGTTCAAAATAAACCATCTGGCTTTTCATACTTCTGCTTTTCAGTCCTGTTCAAAAATGTTGTCGAGTAGATAGTACAGACACCTGCTCTCAAATATTCAAATGCAGACAAGTAAAAGTAACAAGTATCCAATTTAAAATGTATTCAAGTACAGATAAAATGTATAATTAAGCACAGTACTCTAGGGCTGCTCAATTATGGAAAAAAACATTATCACAATTATTTTGGTCAATACTGAAATCACGATTATTCAAACGATTATTTTTTAGTTACATGATGCATTTATTCAGCATTTCTCTCCCCAAAAAAAACACTTTGTTACTGATAATTTACGCAAAACTGTCAAATTGAAAATAAATATTGGCTACCTTAGAGCAGTTTTGTGATGTATAAAACATAAAATGAATAAAATATACTTTGCACATGAAATAAGGCATAGAAAAACATACATGTATCCAAAATAAACTATTTCCAGGAGTTCTATGATCTCTAATATATTATAAAAAATAAAACAAATATACTTATTTACATAAAAAATATCCCAAAATAAACTTTGTTAAGCTTTATCGTTTCAACTCGATTATATGAGTTTGGAGATCGCGATCAAAATTTAATTAATTGCACAGCCTTACAGTACTTTACTACTTTTACTTTGTTGCGTTCTATCACTGTGTATAATTGTACAGTATACAGTGTTTCTTGTTTGATAATAACATTGTTGTTTGACAGATACGTACCATGGAACTTCCACGAGTCGACACAGGGGGTGTACAACTTCACAGGAGACAGAGACCTGGTGCACTTTTTAGATTTGGCCAATCAGACGGGGCTCCTGGTCATTCTGCGCCCGGGGCCGTACATCTGTGCAGAATGGGAAATGGTAAAAATAGTATATAATAGTTTTTGTTCCTGTTTCCAGTTATTTTCAGTTTTGACATGGATGCCATCTCACTTCTGCATCTCGTTGCCCTAAAGCCATTTGTTCGTTTTTAAATAATGTGCATTGAACTTTTACATTCAAACATGATACTGCAGGACAACATTAAAAGTGCACTGTGGAACTTCTCTGGTGGAGGATCTGTCAAATGCTTTTCTACATGGAGATATCATTGCGTTGTTTGGAATGTTTCACAGTAGCGTTAAACCTGTATATCTTCATGGACACTAAAACAGACCAAGTTACAGGTCAGATCTGTGGAAAGGTGACCCCGCTCAGAGTCAGAAAGCCTGATTTTCTAGATGTTTTTGAACTATAAAACCACCTGTAATTGAATAAATGTAAGAGATGTTTAATGTCATACTGTGGAACATTTGAAGCAGAGCAATGACATATTCATAGAAAGAAGCAGGTGACAGACCAAACTGAAAAGTTACACAGTGCACCTTTAATATACCGATTTATAAACTGAATGAAATCTACTTAACATACTTCACTTTACAATTTATTATTTATGTTTTTCTTTATTTATAAGGGAAGCCAAATTTATTTGTAAATTAGTGAAGAAAAAAAGCTCTATGTACAACAGAAAATACATAGAACATAAATGTATTTTTATTGAAAATAGTAGCAGGATGGTTGTAAGTATTTGAAGACTGACGCCTTAAAACCCTCACACTGTCCTCGGGTCACATAGACCCGAAGAAACTTTTTTTTTTCCTTCCCGCTCTCTTGGGGCGGGTCAGTCAGCCCCAAAAATGTATTTTCTTGCCTGGCGAGAAAATAAATGAAAATAAATTTTTGGGTCTGAAGAGAGCGGGAAGGAAAAAAAAAGTTTCTTCGGGTCTATGTGACCCCGAGGAGAGCGTGAGGGGTGGATTGATGTAATTGATCGGATTGAGTAGGCTAAGTTGTTCCATTCATTTGGAACTTTGAAGTTAAATGCTCTGCGGCCAATTTCTTTTTTTTTTTATTGTAGGAACATCAAAAAATAGTTGTTCAGTGTGATGTAAATTATATGATGATCTAAATGGAATCAAAAACTGTTTTAAGTAGGGTGGGAACTTTGAATAATAAAATGATTAGTATTATGCCACCTTACATTAGCAGTCATCTGATAGTTGGTAATAAAACAAGGCTTTGTCTCTAAATCTAAACTGATTTATCTGTAAAGATGTATTTATATTTATATATTTTCTATTATTTTATATTTATATCTCTATTTATTTTCTTCCTCAGGGGGGACTTCCTGCATGGTTACTTCAAAAACCAAACATCATCCTTCGATCAGCTGACACAGGTGAATTTGTATTTTATACTGAAGCACGCATAAAAATCTTAAAGGTGCATTATGTAACTTTTTGAATGGGAGTCCTGCACCTGCTTGTTTCTATGGAGATGTCACTGTTCTGTTTGGAATGTTCCACAGTATGACATTAAACAGCTCTGCCTTACATTTATTCAATTACAGTTTGTTTTTTAACTCAAAAATACGTAGAAAAACAGGCATTTTGACTGTGAATGGGGTTTCCTCTCCACAGGTCTGACTGCAACTTGGTCTAGTTGTGTAGAAGATAGAAAGGTTTAATGCCATACTGTGAAACATTCCAGACAAAGCAATAACATCCTCCACCAGAAAAGTTACACAATGCACCTTTACTAAAAACTACAAGAATGAAATGTATGTATCAAAAGTGTCCCTCTCATTTTAGATTATCTACAAGCTGTAAGCAACTGGCTCGCCATCCTTCTCCCTAAAGTCAAACCCTGGCTCTACGTCAATGGAGGAAACATTATAACTGTGCAGGTACTTTCAGAGTTTAGCAATGATGCCATTAAAAAGGCCAAATGATTTCCCTTGTGGATCAATAAAATTTGTCTAAGTCTCCGTATGATTTCCTTCTTGTCTTTGAGCACAGGTGGAAAATGAATATGGGAGTTATTTTGCCTGTGATTATAACTACATGCGTCACCTCCGGACTCTGTTCCGTTTGTTTCTGGGTGAAAACACAGTCCTGTTCACCGTTGATGGAAACACAGACAAAGAAATGACATGTGGGAGTTTGGAAGGATTATACGCCACAGTGGACTTCGGGACAGGTTAATACTAGGGATGTAACAATAACCAGAATATCGTGATATTGTATCGTCAAAGTTCTCACAATAATCGTGTAACATCGCAGTATATCAAATTACAAGTCTCTTTGCTTAAATTAAGAGTTATTTTGCAGCAATTGCTAAAAAAAAATAGACAGAGGGAACTACATAGACCATGATCCTTTGCTCCATTTCAGTGTAGACTACATGAAGAAATAACAGTTCTAAGCACATTTAAGTCTTAGTTTTTTGGATTAAGTCTTGTCAAGGCATTTTAAGAGGAAAAAAGTAGCATATTAACAGTTTTGTTAGTGTTTACAAAATATCGCAATAAATATCGTAGATGTATATCATGAAAATATCTTACAGAGAGATTTGGATATTGTTTCATCCCTAATCGTGAGCCTCCCCACCATATCGTGAGCTTTCCCACAATATCATGATAAATATTGTACTGTGAGGTTCATACTGTGACGATATCATAACGTGAGACTTGGATATCGTTACACCTCTAGTTAATACTGTAGACAGGCACATTAAACTGTGTTATAAAAAAATTTAATTCTAGCTCTTATTTCTTCTTTAGACACAAATGTAAGAGAAGCTTTTAAAAGGCAGAGACGGTTTGAACCCAAAGGTCCATTGGTAAGTGCATTTTATACAGTGATATAAACAGACAATGTACTGTAATCTGGACCGCCTTGTAAAAAGAGATGATGCATCTTAAGGGGCGATCCTTAATCAAGTATTATTATTATTATTATTTTGCAGGTGAATTCTGAGTTTTACACTGGTTGGTTGGATCACTGGGGAGACTCACACACTACGGTCAGCACAGATAAGGTCATGCGAGTCCTGACAGAGATGCTCTTAATGGGAGCCAATGTCAACATGTAAGTATCAATTTACCATGTTTTTTTTGTTTTGTTTTTATATCTGTAAATGCATCTATAAACTGAATTCAAAACATTGCAGGTACATGTTTGAAGGAGGCACCAACTTTGGATACTGGAACGGTAAAGAATGCTACTTTATAAAGATCAGGTTTACTAGAATTAACCAGTGGTGGAAGAAATACTCAATTTTGTTACTTCAGTAAAAGTACAGATACCAGAGCAAAAAAAAAAAACAACACTAAAGTAAAAGTATCACATGAAAATTCAACTTAATTAAAAGTATTAAAAGAAAAGTATTAAAGTTTAAAAATGTATTTAAAGAGTAATAAGTAGAAGGATTTTGCACAGATTTTTATCTAATAAGGCGTCAAATGTAGTGCATAAATATTTCTAGCTGTTTTTATTTGTATAGTTTTGTTTGCTCATACTACAAACATGTTAAAAATAAAATCTTCAGCCTTTTCAGCAGGTCTCAAACCTTGATAAAAATTACTTTTATTTTTCAGTCAAGTTTAAAAATGTAGTGGAGTAGAAAGTACAGACACATGCTCTCAAATTTAGTGAAGCAAAAGGAATCCACTTTAAAATGTACTCAAGTAAAGTATATATATATAATATTTATACTTAAGTACAGTACTTAAAGGTGCATTGTGTTACTTTTCCGGTGGAGGGCCCGTCAAATGCTTGTTTCCATGGAGATGTTATTGCTTTGTCTGGAAAGGCAAAGCGATACAGGTCAGATCTGTGGAGAGGTAACTTCGCTTACAGCTAGTATGCCTGTTTTTCTAAGTGTTTTTGAGCTATAAAACTACATGTAATCGAATAAATGTAAGGTAGAGCTGTTTAATGTCACACTGTGCAACATTCCAGGCAGAGCAATGACACATCCACAGAAACAAGCAGGTGACGGACCCCCAACCAAAAAGTTACACCACTGAATTTAACATACACGTTCTTCTACAGTTGTACCTCTGATCTCTTTTAAGGTGCCGACCATGACACTCGATATCGCTCCGTCGTGACCAGTTACGATTACGACGCCCCGCTCTCTGAGGCTGGAGACCCCACAGAGAAACTGCTGGCTATACGAGAAGTCATTAAAATGGTATCTTCGAGCATAAGTCTGCATATCAATAATTAAAACGCTTGATTTAAAGCACTACTGATTTCTTTTTATTCTCAGTTTAGAGATATTCCCTCTGGATCTGTGCCTCCAGCCACTCCCAAGTTTGGTTATGGATTTGTAACTCTTAAAAAAGTAAGAAATCATTTTAAAACACGAATAAATTAGTAGGTTTACGGTGCACTGCATAACATTTCAGAGGGTTGAGGGGGTGAAAATGTTTATTGCTTTGTCTAGAATGTTCCACAGTTCATTACAGTTCAGATCTGTGGAGAGTCGTCACTATACACAGGAGGAATTATTGTATTTTTGAGCAATAGAAACACCCGTAATGAATAAATACTAGATGGATATGTTTAATGTCATGGAACATTACAGGCAAAGCAATAACATCTCCATGGAGACAAGCGCAATGTAACTTTAAATTACAAGTCAGATCTGGGGAGAGAATGCATGCTTTTCACTGTATTTTGAAGCCATAGAAAACACTACATGGTAAGGACAAAATAATATGTGGACCTATTAAAGTTTGCATTCATTGTTGTTTTCAGGTTGGTAATATCAGCTCGGTCTTGAACACCATCTCACCCCTGGGGCCTGTAAAATCTCAGTATCCTCTGACTTTTGAAGAGCTCAAACAGGTCTGTATCTGCAGTGGTGGAAGGTAACAAAGTAAAGTAGTAAAGTACTGTCAGATAGTGAACATGACCGAGCTTGAAAAGTAAAAACTTAGTGTGATAAAATAAAAAGCCGTCAAAAAGTACGAGGCACTCTGTTGGAATTACAATAAAAGTCCTTTAATGGTTACATGGGACAAGCCAACACATTTCAACACACATGGTTTCTTCATCACGGCGTATGCCCTTATTTTATTTTTAAGTTTTTACTTTACAAGCTTGGTCATCTTCACTGTCTGTTCACTTTTGAGCCTCATTCTTGAGGAGCACCAGTTGTAGATTTTTAACTAAGATATTCTGAAGCTCTCACTTCCTCTTTGTTTATAATAAAGTACTGTGTATAGGTATCTGTACTTTACTTAAGTACCTTTTAAAGTGGATACTTTTTAAATTTACTTAACTACATTTGAGAGCATGTAGCGGTACTTTCTACTCTAGACTGAAAAGTAAAAGTACTTTCATTACTGCGTGAGACCTGCTGAAAAGGCTGAGGGTTTAATTTTAACACATTTGTAGTTTAAGCAAAAGAAAAACAAGCTTGGAAAAAAAATTAAAAATTCAGTTGTTTCTGTTGAACAAAATTCAGCACAAATCTGTATCAAAATCACTACATTCAAGCTTTATAAGACCTCAGAATCTGTACTTTTACCTTTTACACTTGAAGTACTTTTTTTTAACTTGAATACTTTTACTTAAAGGTGCATTGCATAACTTTTCTGGTGGAGGGTCCAACAAATGCATTTCTCCATGGAGATGTTATTGCTTTGTCTGGAATGTTTCACAGTCTGGTATTAAACCTTTCAATTTTCTTGTCAATCAAACTAGACCAAGCTACTGGTCAGATCTGTGGAAAGTCGACCCCGCTCACAGTCAGAATATCTGTTTTTCTAGGTATTTTTGAGCTATAAAACCACCTGTAATTGAATAAATGTAAAGTAGAGCTGTGGAAACATAAGGGCAGAGGAGTGATTTATCCATAGAAACAAGCAGGTGACGGACCCCAACCAAAACGTTATATAGTCCACTTTTATTTTTTTAATGTGATACTTTTACTGTTACTTTTACTTGAGTTTTTTTTTGGTTTTGTTCCAGTGCCTTTACTTTTACTTTTACTTAAGTAACAAAACTGAGTACTTCTTCCACCACTGCGTATCTGTCACAGTTGTACTATTATTGTTTCTACCTTGTACAAGTAAACCTCTTGAAACATGGAGAACTTTGTGAATGTTGTGTTGTGTGTTGTGTGTATTGTCTGCAGTACTATGGCTACATGCTGTATCGGACCTCCCTGCCCCGGGACCTCTCCGAGCCCACTCCTCTTATCTCTCCTCTCAATGGGGTTCATGACCGGGCATACGTGTCTGTCAATGGGGTAAGTGTCACAATGGAGCTTTGTTGTTTCACTAAATACATTTACAGTTGAGGTGTACGCAGACCACACAGGTGAAACAAAAGGATCTGGTTTATTTTTTGTTATTCGCAAAACAAAAATTCAGTTTTTTAAAATCTCAATACAAACTTATATGAACAGTAAGGCTGGTCTGTGTGTATAAATGTTTGGTCTTATATACTGATGTAACGATATCCAAATCTCTCTGTACAATATTATCACGATATGCATCTCACGGTATGATATTTACTGTGATATTTTAGAGTGGCAAATATAATTCTAGATAGGACACGTTTCTGCTTTTAAAATACCTTGACAAGATTTTGGTGTGAATTATTTCCATCATAATCCCAAGAATTCAAGTAAAAAACATGTTTCTTCATGTTGTCTGGGCTGAAATGAATCATGGGATATGTAGTTCCCGATGTTTATAAGCTGTTCCTACTAAAAAACCATGCATTTAAGCAAAGGAACTTATAATTCGATATATTGTGACAGCCCACAATATTATTGTGAGACTTCTGACGATACGATATCACGATATTTTGGTTAGTGTTACATCCCTACTCTTATGTAAATAGTTAATGAATAAATGACATTACCAAGATAGTATATTACATGTTGTACACCAGGGTTTCTCAAACTTTTTTTAAGCCAGGGACCGAATATTGGTATGAAAATATCCCAAGGACCCCCTACAGATCCTGGCATCTTTATAAAATTACGAGGTTTTGATCATGTATTAAACCAAATTGGGATAAAAGGTTAATTTCTCATTATTCTTAGAACTCTTGTTTTATTTGTGTACCCTACTTGTTTCCATCAAAAACAATACATGTTTGTTACTGTATATTAAAGAATGTTATCACAGTTTTGGAGGACACCCAACAAACTACCCCCAGTACACCACTCGTGGCTTTGGCCTCTGGGACAGAATACATGCATCCTCATGGAATACAAATCTATCTCTTACTCACATTTACAGATTTTGCTATATTTTGATCAACTATCTAAGAGAGAGGTCAACTATGTCAAGTTTGTCAGTAAATGGTTTTAAGGGTTCAGACTTTAGAAGAAGAAATTGTACTATTTTATGTCAAATAGCACTGATTAAATGATAATATATACTGCATTTTTGTTTTTAACGTAATACTTCTGATCTAATTTTTATATTTGCAGGTTTATCAAGGCCTATTAGAGAGAGACATTGCACTTGTAATAAATGTGACCGGAAAACAGGGGGACACTCTGGATATTTTAGTTGAAAACATGGGCAGGGTGAACTTTGGGAGCAAGATCAACGATTACAAGGTAAGAAAACACTTGAAGGGGACTCTTAAAAATTTAAAATGTGTTAAAGGTGCACTGTGGAACTTTTCTGGTGGAAGGTTCAATTACCTGCTTGTCTCGATGGAGATGGTATAACATTAAACATATCCATTTATTCATTATGGGTGTTTCTATTGCTCAAAAATACAGTAATTCCTTCTGTGAATAGGAGCGACTCTCCACAGATCTGAATTGTAACGTAGTGCAGTGCTGTAACTTGCTTGTCTCCCTCGTGATTTTTCATGGTTTAATCTATATTGTGGAACATTCTAGACAACGCAACAATATTTCCAATGGAGACATCAGGTGGCGTACTCTCCACCAGAAAAGTTGCTCAGTGCACCTTTAATATGCATAAATATTGATAGAATTTTTATTTCAGGGCATTTTGAGTAACCTGATTTTGGGTAAAGATGTACTCACAGACTGGAACATTTATCCTCTGAATATTGATGAAGCCATTGCTGGTGGGTGGCCTCATTCAGGAAGTTTCAAGCCTAAATCTCCCGTAAAGAAAGAAGATTTATTTGGACCAACTTTCTACATGGGAACTCTTCAGTCCAATGGTCTGACCTGGGACACGTTTCTCAAACTCCATGAATGGACAAAGGCAAGTTCAAGTCATTTTACAATGTGTTTTAAAAGTCCTATATTACACAAATTGACTCTTGTGAGCTTTGTACCATGTCAGAATGTTGTTACCTCTTAAAACAGACCTGGAGTTGTGTTTTGATTCATTCACAAGTTTGAGTAATCCTGCATTATTAGTCGTAGTAGTTAGTAGTTTTCAAGTTAACAGCTCCTTTTACCTTTTGTTCAGTAGAGATTGGCAATTCCAGTCCTGAAATCATCTAAGTGATTCTAGCAAAGGTGTATGGAGTTTAAAAACACAGTGGAGCGCTTCCTGTATTACCACATGACATCACAAGGTGGAACAGAGTCTTTTCTGTTCAAGAGAAGGACTCAGCCTAAATATGCAGGGTTTGTGAGTTAAACGTGTGAATTAAACAAAACACAACTCCAGTGTTTTTGATGAGAAAACATAATTATAACCAGTGGTGTAGTGGGGATTTTTAAAGTGGGGGTGCGCGATTTGTCATGTCATGCTCTCCCTCTGAACTCACTTTCAGGATATACAGGCACCAGCCCGGTAAAAATCTGTAATATTTGATGTTTTTTGTTTTTTGTACTCAAAATGATACAGAATCATGTTATTAACATTACCACCGTTCTTAATCTCCTATAGAACATAAATCATAGGCTACAACACATGTGCCCAAGACTAAACCAGGACTAAACCAGGACTAAAGCAGGACTAAAACAGGACTAAAACAAGACTAAAACAAGACTAAAACAGGACTAAACCAGGTCTAATCACAAACTAAACCAGAACTACTCTTGAACTTGAGAGTCCCAACAGTCTACACAGGGTTCAGTCCTAATTTAGTCCCGATTTAGTCCTGGTTCAGTCCTGGTCCCTCATGTGGCAGGTCACTATAGGACAGTACTGCAGATATCAGAAGCCTATGTAGGTTGTTTTCACCATTGCCAAAAGCTCTGGTTTGACATTTAAGTTGTAGCTATTTTATATTTGTTATTTTTTTATATCTTACGTCAGGAGAAGTGGGTGGACAGCGTACCCCCACATACCACACCCACTACACCCCTGATTAGAACATAGATCGGAAAGTAGCATAATATGAGCTCTTTAATGTTAAGATAAAAAACTGATTTAATTTATTTTTCAGGGTCAAGTCTGGATCAATGGTGTAAACTTGGGGAGGTACTGGCCGGCCCGGGGACCACAGCAGACACTTTATGTCCCTGGACCCCTGATCAGCCCCACTCAGATCAATAACATCACAGTTCTGGAGCTGGAGGGAGCACCCACACATCTTAAAGTCCTGTTTATGGACAGGCCTCTGCTCAATGCCACTAAATCCTGACAGCACAAAATGATGCCAAAGCTGAAATTTATTTGTGGCTTTGGTATAAACTAGACCTGTCACGATAACACATTTTGAAGTTCGATATATTGAAGTAAATATAGACGATAATATTGAAACTTTCCAGGTCGAGGGTCTGTCTACATTTCTGTCTTTGCTTGCTTGGAATGTGTCACGGCATAAAACTTAACTATCTCCATGGAAACAAGCAGGAGATGCCACCAGACCAAGTTACCGGTCGGATCTTTGTTTTTTGAGCAGTAAAAGCACCCAGAATTGAATGAATGGGAGATGGATAAGTTTAATGCCACACTGTGAAACATTTCAGACAAGCGGGAGTCAGACCCTCTCGCTGAAAAGTTACACAATGCACCTTTAAACCACAGAAACTATTCTAAATCTACAATACTGTTAAAAACCATAAGCTGCAATAAATAAACAGCAGAATGAAGTTATTAATTCAAACTTTTACAGCTTAAATCTTATCATACAGCCAAAAAATTTTCAAAAATGTCCCAGTAGTGCAAAGAAAATGTACACACGATAAATACTGACCCTAAAAACTGTAGTTTCAACTTTCATACACTGAGGTAGGTAACGTAATTATCGTGACAGGCCTAGTATAAACTATATATACTTGAATGTATACAAATTTCCCTCCATGCTGCCTTATGCCATATCACTGCTTTTACTGTTTTACATATGAAGCTTTTTGTCGTCTTAAATTAAGACTCAAATGCGATGTGCTTAACATTCAGTTAAAGGTTCTATATTACTATTACTATAAATTAACTTTTGTGAGCTTTAAGCCATGTCAAAAAAAAAAACAAAACCCCCCACACAATTCTGGAATTGTGTTTTGCTTCATTCACACGTTTGAGTAATGCTTGTTGTCTACATTTCAAAATCTCAAAATGCTCTGTTCCACCTTGTGATGTCATGAAGCACTAGTATGTTAACCTTTTTTTTTCAGTAGAGATTGGCAATTCCTAGGCTGGAATGATCCAAATGATTCTAGTGAAGTTGTATGGAGTTTAAAAACACAGTAGAGCACTTCTCGTATTAACTAGGGATGAAACAATAACCAAAATATCGTGATATCGTATCATCAAAAGTTCTCACAATATATTGAATTACAAGTCTCTTTGCTTAAATGAAGAGTTATGGTGCAGCAATAGCTAAAAAAAGACAGAGGGAACTACATAGACCATGATCCTTTGCTCCATTTCAGTGTAAACTATATGAAGAAATAACAGTTCTAAACACTTTTAAGTCTTAGTTCTTTGGATTAAGTCTTGGCAAGGCATTTTAAGAGAAAAAACCATGAGACGTATATCGCGAAAATATCGTAAGGAGAGATTTGGATATTGTTACATCCCTAATCGTGAACTTTCCCACGACATCGCAATAAATATCGTACCGTGAGGTTCATACCATGACGATTTCATATTGTGAGACTTGGATATCGTTACACCTCTAGTATTAACACATGTTCAGTCCACCTGGTTCAGTCCTGGTTTAGTCCTGGTCCAGTCCATATACGGCGCAAAAGTTCAGCATCTTCACAGTTATTTTGGAGAGAGTAACTTAAAAGCAATGCAGTAATAATGTAATGCCTCATATTTTAAATGCAGTAATACTGTAATGTAACTAATTACTTTGAAATGACAGTAACAAGTAATAAATAACGCATTAAAGTTAAACATTAAACTTGCCCAACAGTGCACATGACATCACAAACAAAGTATTTTCAGTTTGAGAGAAGAACTCAGCCTAAATCTGCAGAGTTTCTGTGTTAAAAATGTGTGAATGAAACAAAACACAAATCCAGGTTTGTTTGTGATGAGGAAACATTAAAACACTGATCACAAAATAGTGTAATATAGACTCTAATTCTCGCAAACATCAAAAGACTGTCAAAAGGTTAGAAAATGTTTTACTTTTTATTGCATTTCATGATTTTTTTTTATTACAATGAGATAAAAATTACATTGCAACCTGGTGGCTTTGAGTTTTTTTTCTTAGTGTCATGAGGTAGCTTACTCTGTAGTTGATCTACACAGTTAACTAGGGTCATTTGGCGTTGGCCTTTCTGTGCTGCTGGACACAACGCGGGCTACAGAATGTGAAATCCAGATACTCAAAAGGGATTTTCCCCAGAAGCGACTCTCCACACATCCAGCATCTCCTGGAACACATACATTAATTTGTTAAAAATGTGGAAATCAGACGTCACAGACTTAAAATTTAGAGGAAAAAAAGGGTCATACTTTGCATTTGCGATGCTAACTCCTGTCGCGGCAGCCTGTTCAGCGAGTCTGCGCTCTGCTGCCAAGGCTCTCTAAAAAGGTAAAAGAAAAATGTCATAATTTTTTGCTTTCTGAGTTTATAGAGCTCGGCAAAAATGTGCTAATTAGTTGGAAGTGGCAAATATTGATCAAAAGAAACAGAAAACGCACATCAAAGTTCTTGTGGAGGTGCAAATGCAAGGAGCAGCAATTTAAAAGTGAAAAAACGCAGAGCACACTCAGTTTTTAAATAACGTTTGGGCAAAAAGCCGATCATTTTTCTTGCTCTGGACCGCAGTATACAGCAAATAAAACCCTGGTAAGAAATATATTTTTGTATATTTGCATCGCTGGCCTCTTGTGGTTGAAATTATGTCACCAAACATTTTATTAAATAATATAACTACACTAGAAATTGTTTATATACTTGACTACGGAAAAGACATTGAAACCTACTTTGCAAATCCAAGTTAAGTCTGTAGACAATCAAGCCAAATTACCTTTTCTCGGTCTGACAAAGCCGCAAACCTCTTCTTCTCCTCCTCCTCCATCTCTTGTTTCTTCTTCTCCTCCTTTTGCTCCTTTTCTCGCTGTTTTTTCTGTGCTTTTTGAGCCTTTTTCTTCTCTTGCTTTTTGGACTCGAGCTCCGCTGTGAGTGGGCCTGGGATCTGAAAAAGACACACATTTAGCACCATATAAACAATAAATCCATTTTGTGTTGTTATTGTAATATTATTGTATTTAATCTCATTTTACCTGTGCTTTACTGTAGTCGTACTTATCAGGATTCTCCCCCATGTATTTCCTAAAAACGTTTCTTGTGTCTTTCTCTGGTGCTACATTATATGGAGTTTGGCCTTTCTTGTCTCTGCAAGAAATATATTATAAATAAGGAATAGATCGTATCATTGTACTTTCCATGTTTAAAGCTGCACTACGTAACTTTTCGCTTGGGGGTCTGTCACCTGTTCGTTTCTATGGTTCTATGGCTCTACAATATAACATTAAACAGATCTACTTTACATACATTTATTCAATTATAGATTTTTTTTTTTTTGTATAGAAAAACATGTATTCTGACTGTGAGCGAGATCGCCTCTCCACTTGGTCTGGTTTGGTCTCCATAAAGATAGAAAGGTTTAATGCCATACTGTGAAATATTTCAGACAAAGCAATAACATCTCCATGGAGAAAAGCATTTGACTAGCCTGATTCATTAGCCCGTTTCACTTCGTGGAAACCGTCAGACCTCACAGCATTAGGATTTATTCACTCGACAATAGGCCGATACTTTTTAATTTAACCAATCGCTGCTATTTGGTTGTGACGTATGTAATGCACCAATCTTCTGTAGGAAGAAGAATAATGTCTTTCCCCTTGACAAAATTCACCAAACATTCTCTTTGTTCCAGCTTTAAATCCTCGATCTCACTGCCAATACAGAATGGATGTCTTCATCTACATCCATCGCGACCGCTTTGTTTACTGTTGTGTTGTAACACAAAAGGGACCCAGACAGGCGCTTGAGTTTGAAATCATGGCTTCACAGCTCGTTGCTGAGTGGCCGGTGTGCGGTCTACAACTTCTGGGTTTTTTGCAAACCGTCTAGTGCAGGCATGTCAAACTCAGGCTCTGGGATCTAATTTGGCCCACAATATAATTATATTTGGCCCACGAGATCATATCAAATATATATTAGAGCTGGCCCGCTGGCTACTGATTGTAGCTTCTTCTGAATTCAATGTTTAAGCAAAACTATTATTAAACATTTATTTTATTAAGAAAATGTTTAACATTACAGATGTTGTTGAAATTTTTAAATAAATATTTAGTTTGGCCCACGAGTTCCAGTTTTTAATTTTGGCCCTATGTGAATTTGAGTTGGACACCACTAGTATATTCTGATTCCTGACCTAGTCGCTGGAGAGAAATGAAATTGAGCAGAGGCACTAGATGGAGCCAGCCTGGCTAACATTTGACAGACCCTGCACCAGAAAAAATTCACAATGTATTTTTAAATAGACAGTACCTGCAGGCTGGATCTGCTCCTACATCCAAAAGACACTTGACCACCGCTTTCTGTGCAGCAGCTGAAGCAACGTGTAATAAAGTGAATCCTGATGAGTCTATGGGTTTATTTAGAAATATAAGAGGGTTTTTGACATCTGAAGTCTCAGTCTCTTCTTCTGTTTTTTCTCCATTCAAAAGTCGTTGTAAACCGTCTACATCTCCGATCTTGCAGGCCGTAAAGAGCGCGTCCTTCACACTGTACTCCCAAGAATCATCAACAGCATCTGAACACAAAAAAAATAAAAATAGGAGTCTTAATTTAAACAAAATAACTCAATCCACGGGGATGTGATTGTTTGACTGAAATGTTCCGCAGTACACTCTTAAACTTGTTTACTTTACATTTATTCCATTGCAGGTGTTTTTATTGCTTAAAAAAACATTCTTACAATACACTGAGCCACCTCTCCGCAGCTCTGACCTGTATCTTGACCTAGTTTCGTTTCTGCTCATCTCCGGAGTGATAGAGGTTAATGCTTTACTGTGGAACATTCCAGGCAAAACAATAATAGCTGAACACAGATGTAACAATTCGTTTTTCAGTTTTTGATTTTGTGTTTAACTGAATAATGGAAAAAAACGGATAACGGCCGTTTCCCATTTCGGTGACTTAAACTGCAATGACGGACTTTTGCACCAGGACCAGGACCAGGACCAGGACCGAACCAGGACCGAACCAGCACTAAACTAGGTCTAAACCAGGACTGAACCAGGACTGAACCAGGACTAAACCAGGTCTAAACCAGGACTGAACTAGGAGGACTGAACTGAGCACTGAACTAAGAGGAATGAACCAGAACTGGACCAGGACTAAACCAGGACTAAACCAGGACTAAACCAGGACTAAACCAGGACTAAACCAGGTCTAAACCAGGTCTAAACCAGATCTAAACTAGGTCTAAACCAGGACTAAACCAGGACTAAACCAGAACCGAACCAGGACTAAAGCAGGTCTAAAACAGGACTGAATCAGGACTAATCTTGGACTTGAGTTCTGTTTTAGTCCTGTTTAGTCCTGTTTAGTCCTGTTTAGTCCTGTTTAGTCCTGTTTAGTCCTAGTTTAGACCTAGTTTAGACCTAGTTTAGACCTAGTTTAGACCTGGTTCAGTCCTGGTTTAGATGAAACGGATGAAATGGGAAACGGCTGTTATCCGTTTATTCCATAATTCATTTAAACACAAAATCGAAACTGAAAAACGAATTGTTATCTGTTTCTTCATTTTGGTTTTGGAGACAAATAAAGAAGAAAATTGTTGTTTTTTTCATTTTCTTATTTTTGGTTTTATTTTGAAATATGAACTATCCATCATGTCTATGTATGTAAACTTGCTCAAGATCATTCTAAAACTATTCAGGAAAGGTTCATTTCATTTCCTGTAAATTAGTATTGATACCTGCTCAAATGTGTATCTAGTTTTGATAATAGTTTTTATATTGATTAGTATCTCATATTTGATACTTTTGACAGTCCTACCTTCCAATTCTTTCTTTTTCTGTCCTCTTCTCCTCCTCTTTGGTTTAGTTTCTTGAGGAGCTTCCACAACCTCTGTCGCCTCTTTTTCCTCCTCAGTGTGAGGTTCTGCACTATCCAAATCTACAAATCAAAATTATAACTATTATTTATGAAACGTTGTAATATTTGTGTTTTATATGCTGAAGTTGAAATATGACACTTACCTTCAGTTTGCATTTTAGCATCTTTATTTTTCTTTTTCCGCCTTTTCTGCTTCGATGGATAAATTTCAGACTCTCTCAAGTCCAGTGTTGTTAATGACAGTTCTTCCATTTCCAGTTGGACTGCTCCACTCTCTCCCTCCTCCTCTGAACTTGTTTTGCAGCTGTTTTCTGAAAATGCAAAATGTCTTTTATTTACTTATTTATGAGTGTGTGTGATGGTAATTCAATAATTTACAATATTTACAATATACTACACAATATTTTTGTTTTTTTAATCGCAATTTTTCCCCCACCCTTGCTAAAACGAACAGCTTATTTTATTACTTACCTACTCATACACACAGACAGAAGCCATTCTTATTGTCTCTTCACCTCTTCAAACTTTGATGTATGCACACTCTATACGGCCAAATCAAAATGTCTAATGACTTTTACTGTTTGTACTATCTCTAATACCACAAAAATACATAAATAAAAGTAACAGCTTAATATTGCAAAGCGATATAACAAAATAAAGACATACATATAAAGATAAATAATGAATATAAGAAAAAAGTAATAACATATATAACACACACACACGGGATGAAACAATAACAGAAATATCGTGATATCGTATGGTCAAAAGGTCTTATAATAATATCGTGGACCATCACAATATATCAAATCACAAGTCTCTTTGCTTAAATTAAGAGTTATGCTGCAGCAACAGCTAAAAATACAGAAAGAACTACATAGACCATGATCCTTTGCTCCATTTCAGTGCAGACTACATGAAGGAATAACTGTTATGAGCACTTTTAAGTCTTATGAAGTCTTGTCAAGGCATGTTAAGAGGAAAAAGCAACATATTCACAGTTTTTTGGGTTTTTTTTGCCTCCACAAAATATCGCAATAAATATCGTACCGTGAGATGTATATCATGAAAATATTGTACCATGAGATTTGGATATCGTTACATCCCTAACATACACACATACCTACACATAAAATGCATAAAGAAAGATATTTATTCATTTTCACCCTTTTTTTTTTAATTTATGCAGCATTTATAAATTGTACCCTGTTGTAGCAGAGGAAGGGATTTTACCTTTGTCTTGGTCAGTGTTGGGTTGGGTGTTCACCTTGGCAGCTTTTTTCCACGCCTTTTTGGATGGACTAAAGATGAGGGACACATCAGTCTCATTCCCTGCATTTGAATTATGGACACACAAGGTTAATTCAATCTACATAAATATGAGAACGATAATAAACAATAACAAAGTCTTTCTACTCGAGATGCACCGATCCTGCTTTTCACTTCATATATTGATTAAATATCTGCCAAAAACAGCATTTATTTCCTTTAAACAAAAGCAAAATAAGACAAAACTGATCCAAATCTGGGACGCAGCTGTTATTTATCTCTGAGGCAATGACAAAACAGCTTTGTATAAATAAAAAAAATCGAACATTCTGAGGCTTTCTGGCCCCACTATGACAATTAAATAGTCTTATTACATCAATTCATGCCGTATGTCCAACCAGGATCTCAGCTGAATCGATATTTGGAAGCTGATATCTGAGCAAATTTTTCAGTATCAGCACCAGTATTCAAAACCAGTATCAGTATCGGTGCATTCCTACTTTCTACTTACCGTAAACCTGCATATTTCCAAGCACTTCATGTACCCTCTGCACTTCTCTAAACGTCGCCCTCCTTGTCGCAAAGGGAATACTGCGAACTCTAGAGTCTTTTTTATTCAGAGCTGCTGTCCGACCTCCAAAAAAAATGGAGTTGTTGTAGCTTGGAGCACGCACAAATATTGCAGATGCTTCCGTTAAGTAATCTACCCAGCTAACAAGGATATCCTGAATGTCCTGGAAACATTAAACAAAGTAAATCAGTTATTAATATAAAAAAGAAAAAAAAAAAAAAAAAGAAACATGGGATATAATACAGAAGACTTGCTACCTTAACCAGGGCGGCCTCGTTGTATCTCCTCAGAGCAGCTCCTGCAGATTTAGGGGCGTGGCTGCGATTCTGTGCGTCTCGGAGACCTTGGGCAGTGCCTCTCTTTGCACGGACAGTGTATCGGTGAAATGTCTTGTGTTGAATGACCTCTTTACTGTGGACGACATTGGGATGAGTAAATGCACTGCTGTTTATTTAACTGCCTTTCAACGTCAATCCTCTTTCAGATATTTTGTTTTCTGTGGAATGCAGGCTGTTTTAACATCTACACTGTGCTTAACAATTCTATATTCTGTGGAGTCGTGCATCTTCAGCATCACAGTATAGAGACATTCTCATAATTAAAAAGTCTTTTGCAGCATAAACATTAAAACCTCTTTAAACAAGTGGTTTTGTCTCAGAAGAAACTGCCTACAAAATACGTCACTGCACTGTCACGTAAAGCTTCTGAGGAAGGCTACAGGAAGTAAATGAGACATGAAACAGGTAAACAACTCTCAGGTCTGACAAAAAAGAAAAGCTAATTCAAGTTTAGAACTGAAGACAGAATTAACTTTTACCACAGAGAGATTTGTCTCAGATTGGAATCTAAGTTCTTAGTAGCTGATTCTCATAAAATGAAAGCTGAATCTTCAGCTGTTTCTTTGCCTGGAAATCCTGAAAGATATTTCTCTCTATTTGTTATACAGCGTTGAGTCTGGATTTTTCTAGAAAAGCTGTTTCTGCTGTGATTGGCTAAATCCACACTACTATAGCTAAAATTGCACTTGAAGGCCATTCATCACATGCAAAAATAAAATATAATTGAATGTTGCCAATACAAATCTGGTCTCAATCTGGTGAACAAATAAGAAAATAAAAAGACAAGTTTTTTTTTCCCCTTAAAATTATGAAAACAATATAAGAAAAACATCAACAACAACATGTAGAATATATTTTGTTATTTTCTGTTAAAATGTAAAATGAAAGTCATAAAAGCCAGCTCTTCTCTGGGAGTCAAAAGAACCAAATCTGTGCACAAAGAGCTGGACTGTCCATCACTAGTTCAAACTGTTTTCCTCCTCTCAAAATCTCAACTTAAACTGTGTAGAAAGCTAAATTACACTCACCCCTGAAACACAGCTCCAGCAAAGTGGCCTCCACCGGTCATAAGAATCACCCAAACAGTCTTTTTGTTTACAGCTCTTAGGGCCTGCACTAAATCTTCCTCTTCATTTGTCTGTAACAGCAGATGACAAAATTAGTGTTTACTGTCATTTATGTAGTGAAAAGTCAACTTAAAGATCCTATACTACGCAAAATTGACTCTTGTGAGCTTTAAGCCACTTCATTATGCTGTTACCTCCTCAAAAACAGACCTGGAGTTGTGTTTTGTTTCATTCACACATGCTTGAGTAATCCTTTATTATTAGTCTGCCTACAACATATGTTAAGTTGTTATAGCTGCCTTTTATTTTTTGCTCAGTAGAGATGGACATTTTCATTGCTGAAATCATCTAAATTATTCTAGTGAAGGTGTATGGAGTTTAAAAACATATGTGGAGCACTTCCTTTATGACGTCACAAGATCACAAGGTGTTTTCCGTTTAAAGGAAAAACACTAAATATGCAGGGTTTGTGCGTTAAACATGTGTGAATGAAACAAAGAAAAACACACAACACCTGGGATGTTTGTGACGAGGAAACAACATTATAACGCAGATCAGAAAAAAGTGGAATATGGGCCCTTTAAAAAAACCTCACCTTTCCCTGGAGAACACAGCGGTGCACAGAGAGATACTGTCCCGCAGAATTCTGGAAAACAACCTTGCTTGAAAATCGACCAGAAATCAAACTATTCTCAGTGGCGCTCTCATTATCTGTTCCAGTGACGTTGCTGCTTGTTCCACTGTAGTCACTATCTGAGTCTCCATCCTCTGAGCCGGACTCTGAGCCTGAGATACTTGACACGTCACCTGGAAAAGACACAATTCAGGCCTTTAGAACATATTGTGCACATTTGTATCTGTCTTATCTGTAACATTAGGGTACATATTGTTCAATATATGAAAGCTGAAGCAATATATTTTTGGGATCAGTATTTATTGTGTGTACATTTTCTTTGCACTATGGGGAATTTTTTGGTTATTTGTTGGCTATAAGATAAGATTTGAAAAGGTTGAATTAACAACTTTTACAACTCAAAACAGATACAAACTAAGTACTTAAGTGTTTCATTCTGCTTTATTTATTGTAGCTCATTATTTTTTAACAATATAGTCCATTTAGTTAGTTTCTATGGTTCAAATCTGCTCTTGTGGCAAAAATGTTTTTGCTATATTATTGTTTATCGTCTATATTTACTTCAGCACTTTACTTTTTCATGACAGACCTAAGTGTAAACATGCCCAAGTCCAAAATTAACTTCTTACCAGCTCCTGTTTTTCTCTCAAACTCCTCCACTGTTACTGGCGACAATCCTTCCATCTTTTGTCTCAAGTTGAAGCGATGCCAGTCAAGTTTGTAGTGCTCCATCTACATAAATTACACCAAAGGACCCCGATATCAACAATAAATCACTAAATCTTTTATGTTTGCGTAGACTTACCTGTTCTTCACGGTTAGTAAAAGAGCATTTACAAGCCAAGCAGGACATCTTATCAGACACGTCTTTGACCAGGCTGCTTTCCTTTTCTTTGCCATCATCCCGGTTTTTATTTTCTATTTAAGTCATAGATTTTAAAATATTACATGACATTACAATATTATTTAATAGAATAGATTAATTTTACTATACATACCGTCTTGTGTTGGTTCATTTTCAGCTGTTTGTTTAGGAATATTTTTCACCTCTTTAAGTCCATCCAAAATCTCCTCGTTTGGACTTAAATCAAATATAGATCGATGAGACGCAGAAGTGGACATTTTGGTCAATATTTATGACAAACCCTGTGAAGAAATGAAAGGTTTCAGAGTCAGAGTTGTTGTTTTTACAGTGATTCAGATGTGATCATGGAGCTGTCATGTGTCATGTGTAAAGTCCGACAACAGTAATTACATTGATTACACACGAGCGCGTTTCTGTAACATGTTATAATCTAATATACAGAAAGAAGAAAGGATCAGAGGCAGACTTATTATAGAAAATGATCTTACCACATGAGGTTGTCCCGTGGATAATGCAACACCGACGATAAGTGAAGGGTTGTCCATAGTACGGAAGCCGGAAAGGGTCCAAAGTGTCAAATCGCGTGTGAGGGATATTTAATTTTTGTTTAATTTTATGTTTTTTGTTTTTGTTTTTTATTAGAATCACCACTGTAATGATTGGTGTACTATAATTAATAAAATTATTTAAAAAAAAATTAATAAAATGTATAAAATTAAATTTAAAAAATATAATTAATAAAATGATTAATTAAACATGTATTTTAAGATATATTTAAGATATTTGTTTATTTATTTCATTCATTAAGTATAAAAAGATATTAACACTGTCACAACATCAAACATACAAGAAATGAATGAAAAGGAGCAGAAACAAAAGTAATCTTATGTTATCAGCTCCTTTTCCCCTTTTCTAGACAAAACATTAACACTGATAGTCACTTTAAAACATTTCAGTTCAGGCACAATTATTAATCAACTGCAAACAGAAATCTTCACTATTATGCACAACAACTTAGCTTCCCTTTTCATAGTGGATTTTATGTGTTTTTTAAAATGCCATCATTGTACTTGATTCTTTTATATCTTTGACACGACTGTTCCATAAATTAACTCCTTTCTTCGCTCCATAACCTTGGTTCTGAATCTGAGTTTTTAAAAATGTAGCTGTTCCTTTTAAATTGTAGTGTCTTGTTTTTGTCTCAGTTTTTGAATATTTACAGGTAATACATTGCACTTTGCGTTATACATGACTTGAGGTTACTTAAGTCAACAATATGATGCATTTTCAGCACTTTAAGTCGAACAAATAATGGGTTGAATGGCTCTCTACAAAAACTGTTGGTGATAATTCTCAAGGCCCTTTTCTGTAAAATAAATAATGGCTGTAGGTAAGTTTAACATGTTGAACCCCAAATTTCCATTCAGTCCATCAGATATGGTGCAATTATAGAGTTATACAAGGTTAATAATGCTGCACTATTTAGAAAGAACTTTACTTTATGCAGAACAGAAATTGCTTTGGAACTTTTGCCTTTAGTGTAATTGATGTGAGACCTCCAGTTTAGACCTTCATCAATCTTTACTCCTAAAAATTTGGTTTCATTTACTCTTTTAATCTGTATCCCATCTATTTCTAATGTTATGCAGACATTTTTCTTTTAATCATTAAATAAAATGAAATTAGATTTTTTTTTTTACATTCAAAAATCAATCCATTTAAATCAAACCAATATTTTACCTTTCCTTTAATTTTGTTTATCATTTTTTAAAATCATTTTTCAGACATTTTTTGTTGGTTTCTGAAGACATAACGTTCTACAAATTTATATTTTAATGGAGATGTGAAGATGGTAAAATTAATTTGCAGATTTTTGTTGTAATCTATGGAATGCAATGGTCTAAATAATTATGTGCAAAATTTGTGTAGAAGCCTAGAAGAAGTCATCATCAGAGCATAAATAGGCTTATAAATTTGAAAACCAAACTAGGCTCAATCAGATGTAAAGTGACATAGGCCAAAATAACACTTACTCAACTAACTTAAAAACACAGTTTATTGAACATTACAAAAACATATACAAAAAAAATCTACAAAAGAGAAAAAAGAACAACAATCACTTTTCACGTTTTGTTTGGCGTCTTTTTGGTTTGATGCTTTGTGCAGGTTCTGGAGATTTTGTCGCTGTGAGAAACAAAACATGAGTTAAAACTACATTAAAGATCGTTGTTGTGAGTCAAGGACACGCTGACACATATGACATGTTTTTGAAGAAACGGCGGCAAAGAGGAAAAAATGCGGTGAAGATATTGAAGGTGGTTTTCTTCAGGAGGTTGGATATTTATTGATGTATTCTTTATGTTTTTTTTTACTTATTTATTTATTATTTGGTAGGGACAGTGCATGTGAATGAACATACGAGATACAAATGTAGTAAAAATACGCAGCTATTTTCCATCCATTGTCCCGCATTCACTCTCAACAAGGCACTCTCATTAAACACTGGGGGTAAGATGGGTGATGTGTCTTGCCCAAGGACACAACTAGACTACTTGTTGGTATTCCTAACGGTCTTTGATTCCAGTAACAACCAGGCCCGACACTGCTTAGGCTGCGTTTGAGAGACATTTTAACATTCTAGGTTCAACATTTGTGAGAAGATTTCTTGCAAAAACAGTGAGTTTGTACATGTCCCTGGTCTCTGTCTAAAATTATGAATGTTGTGTAGATGGTAGTGTTGTAATCAAGACCAGTCCAAGACCAAGACCTCTGAGGGTCGAGACAGAGACCACGGCCCATAGAGACCAAATTGAGTCCATCATTGTCATTTCCTAAATTTATTTGTATTTTACACTTATTTTGGCACATTTATATCAATGTTTTTATAAATCTATCTCCATTTGATCTGATTAACCTTAATTTAGGCTTAAAATAAGCCAAGCAAACTGTACTGCACTTAAACTCACACACAATTAGAGAACCCCTTCTTTAATCCCACTTCCTCTGGCACTTTACAGAGAACAACTTCAAAGTGAATCATATGGGTTTTTTCAAGTTCACAACATTTACAATTACATTATCTTACTGGTTTTGCAGTGATATTTAGCAGCCTCTGCACATTTACCGGCTGTAATGAAATATGATTGCACTCATCTGGTGTCAGACCTCGAGTCCGAGGTAAGACCGAGACCAAGCACCATCAAGACCGAAGTCAAAATGCGCTCGAGTCCGAGACTAGACCAAGACCGTAAAAAAGCGGTTTCGAGTACTACGACACTAGTAAATGGCATGCACAGTGAGTTGGTGTACGGTTTTTGAAACAGGGAAATGAAAAAGGGTTGCATGAGAGCTTTTTATACCTGTTTCGTGAAGTGCCTTTGCCGCGTCAAGTCGATGTGTTACTTCCACAGTTTTTCTAGTTAAAAGTTGTATTTTGTTAGTTATGGTTTCATTTCTATCTTGCAATTCCTCCCAGAGGCGTCTAAAAGATAAACAGATAAATTACATATTGCATGCCTTAAAGATGCACTGCCACTTGCTTGTCGCCATGGAGATGTTATTGCTTTGCCTGTAGCACTTTATGTAGTTTGCCATTATGCTTTTCTACATTGGATGAATTCAATTACAACTATTCATTTGTAAAATACCTTGAACACATGCATTTGTATTGTCACCAGGGTAGACTACATAGATCTAACCTATGACTTGGCTTGGTATCTCCACGGGGATAGATGTGTTTACGCTTAATGCCATACTGCAGAACATTCCAGGTAAAGCAAAAATCTCTAAGGTTTCTATGTTCTTTTTTTCTTTACTTCACCTTGTCAATGGAATTAGAATGTTATCTATTTTTGTTATTGCCCAACTTGTGTCTTAAATATTTGAAGTTACCGTACTCATTAATAAAAATACAAATAAAGAGACAAGCAGGTGGCAGACCTTATTCCAAAAAAGTTACACAGTGCACATTTAACATAAGATTCACAAGACACACAGATGTCATACAGACCTGTCCTCTTCTGATTGACCGTCGAGTTGTTCTTTTAAGCTGCGTTCCTTCTCCAGCAGTTCTCCAAGTTCGCGCAAAACATCAATGACTTTTTCATTCCCCATCAGTAAATCTGCACGCCATTTGGTCTCTTTAGTGCTACAGAAGGAGATGTCTTAAGTATATGTTAGAGTAAAAAATACACATTTCTTTACCCTCTAAGTAATGACTGACTGATATTATCTTGTGCAATAAATAAATAAATAAATAAACAGAAACACAGGCTATATTAAAAGGTGCACTGGCCACCACTTGCTTGACTCCATGTTGTTTTTTCCTGAAATGTTCTACAGTATGGCTTTTAATTTAACTCTCTCCATGGAGACAAGCAGCCACATCACCAGGCAAAGTTACAGGTCAGATCTGCGGAGATGAGGACCTGCTCACAGTAATAATTCATGTTTTTGTGGTAGTTTTGAGACATAAAAACACCTGTAATTGAATAAATACAAGATATATTCGTTTTTTGCCATACTCTGGAACATCGCAGGCAAAGCAATAACATCACCATGGCGACAAGGAGATGGCGGAAGCTACACCAGAAAAGTTACACAGTGCACCTTTAAAATGCACAAACCAACATATACGGTACTTCCATGGTTGAACATTTAGATTAAGTTATCATTATTGTATTGTATTTATTTCAAAAAAGAAGAAAAAAAAAGACTCACGATTAGGGCGACCAGATTTTCAAAATTCTAAACCAGGACACACCTGAGTTAAGATAAACCTTTCCCATGGAAGAAATTTGTCTAGGGACAGGGGATCACATGCTTTATCAAAAAACAGGACAACACAACAACAAAAGCACCACACAAACATCCCCCATATGACATAAATAAATAAGAGACCAAGTATGACCACGAGTGATGCACCAATGGGACCTTTAAGTCACTCTTTACTTGGGTTGGGAAGGTTGGGAATAAATAAATTTATGAAAAGAGCATGTAAGATTGTGCATTCTCATGGCAGTCATAATCTGAAGGGCTTCTGTCACTGCATATTGTTGCTTTATGGTCATTTAAAAACACGTATTTCTGTATTTTGGCTAAACACATGACAATTTATGCTCCTCTTTGGTGTTGGCAAGGATCAGATTAGTTAAAAAGTCTATAGTCCTGTTTTAATCTTGGTTTAGAATTGATGTAGTCCTGGTTTAATCTTAGTTTAGTCCTGGTTTAGATGAAATTGGTCAGAAATAGGGACACCTGGGACATTTTGTTGTATAAAACTGGGACAAATAACTAGTTTTGTATAAATCTGCTGAGACAGGGGACACAGAGCTCAAAACTGGGACTGTCCCGGGTAAATACGGACGTCTGGTCACCCTAAGCACGATGTAACTTTTGTAGAGAAGTGTAAATTGGGATGGTTCTTGAGATGTTATTGCTTTGCCTGGGATGTTCCACAGACAGTATGGCATTAAAGTTAACTATTTTGCATTTGTTCAATTACAGGAGTTTCATAAAAATGATTCAAAACTAGTGCAGTCACCTCTCCACAGATCTTACCCGTAAATT